ATAATATGAATAATAGGATAAAAGTGACTGTTTCGGAAAATATAAATAATATTCGATTTACATTTTCTTTATTATATTGAAATTGTACTTTTTGTTTGAAAATATAATAATCATATTCCTATATTATAATTAAAAAAAGAATAAGTCACCAAAACTTTAGAAATAGAATAGATTAGAAAATATGATTTTTGTAATATATTATTTTAACTTAATCAAGCCTGCAATTCTACATACAGTTGATATATCCTCAGCCATATTTTTGACGTCGAACGGTAACTGTATTCATAGTCCATTACATTAAATATTGATAACTTGTGGAAGTTTAAATTTGCAATCGAAATTCATTCAATATTATTTTACAATTACAATCTTTGTTCTCAAATAACGAAATATTTATTTCTGATTCTCGTTTTGAGACAAAAAACACGAATTATAGGCAATATTGATTAATAAGTATTATTAATTAATAAGTACTTGTTTTTTTTCTACAAATTTGATACAGAGAGTTTATAATGTTAGTTAAAATAAAAGATATGACAATCAACCGACAGCATCATTACCATCAGTGCTACTTTTTGTTGTTATTTTATAGCCAACACAACTGCTACACGGTGATCCCAAAGTAACATCACATAATTTCGGGATAAATTATAGACATTATCATATTCTAAAGTTTAATCTAAATTACTGTAAGGTTCAGACAAAATCTATGCTAAAATTTTAGCGTGAATAAATAACAGCCATCCATATATCCATAAATCCATTTAATTTTACAACAATTCTCATTTAAACTATTATCAGTAGGATAAAATTAAATTTATAATATTGTATTAAATGGTGTCTTTATTAAATAATTAATAAAGCTTTATATTTCAATAGCTGCATTCATAAAAAGGATATAAATAATCCACCAGCCACATATACATACACATGTACCTATTTAAATAGCATTGTCTCCAATGAAGGTTTTTAATAATTCCCAGATTAAATTCGTTGTTACAACTCGTAAAGAGGCAGGTGCAAATTCGCCAAAACGAATAAGTTGAAACCAATATAAAGCAAAGTATAAAATGTTTAATTTTAAATAAATATATTTAATATCTACTAAAAAAAATTTGGTACTAGTAACACATTGATATTTTTTTATTTTATTTTTATTTTAAGTAAATAGGCATAACTGATATACTCTCCATACTGTTTAATATTTTTTTGTGTGATGTAAAAAAATATCCACAAATAAGATCTTAATATTATAATAAACATAATAAAATTGATAGAAAAGTGACGAATAAAAGGTTCTTTAAGTTGCTTCCTTCAACAAAGAAGCAACCTATTTGTTAGTAAAATTATTTTACATACCAAGGAAATTGGATTCTGAGAAATATTTCACACAAAACATCGAATCATTATACGCTTCCGAAAAAATTTAAATCAGAAAAATATTTATATATTTTTTTATACATGAAAATGCAAATGAGTCTTCTATGTATGGAACTATAAAATATGATCCGAACATAATATAGAAATTCTTATTCCAACAAAATTTATCATCATCCTATAAATTGTATATAATACCTTAATACAACAATTACTTAATCTAGTGTTTGGTTTCACTCAAAGCAATGAAGCAAAAAGCCGACTCAGTACCTACTCACCTTAATTGCGAAAGATGGATAAAAATTCGAAGTAAAAATATGACAAATAAGAATTACAATAGTATTTAAGGCTAAATGAAATAATTAATTCTTCTTAAAGAGAAAATACTACTCATGATTATGTGAAGTTTAAAAAATATATCTATGTTTACACATTTTGTGTAAGTAGTTTTTATCTACTCTTATAATTTTGCTCTTGTACTTTAGTGATATTTTCCAAGTGATCATTCGATTTAAGTAGATAATATATTTAAATAATCTATTTAAATAAATGGGACTTCATTTTAAATTTCGTTTACGTGAGTTTGATCATATTATATAAATAAAATAATAAACTGTTTTATAAAGCACATAAGTTTTAACATTATGTTGGGTTAAAATAATTATTGCATTGTTACCAAACGTTGTTTTTGTAAATCTTGAACTTGGCACTACCTTAAAATTAAATTGAAAATCTTCAAATTAAAATAATTTCGCTTCAGTACATAAAAACAATACGGTAAATGGTTAGGCATTTGTTAATTTTTTTGATATTCGTAATAAGGTTAAATTGCATTTAACTTAAACACTTCCTTCTACTTTAAAGAAATAGCATGTATTTTTTTTGTCCCTTATTAAATCAAGTATGAGTTTTTATAATTATGACCAAAAATAATAACAACAATCGATTAAGGAGAATAAAATGAATTTTACATAAAAAAAATACATGTACATACATATGATTTGCAAAAGCGGTGCAAACAAAGTAAAACACATTAAATTAAAACCAAATTGATTGTCGATCAATTGATAGAGCATAATAAAGCATAATATGTTATTAAAGCTATTGTATACCATACTTATAATATATTGCAGTATGCAACAAATAAAGTAATTTATTTTATGTATTTATTATATAAACCAAGTAATTACATACTTTTTTTGTTTTTAATCCCTACTTATATTATAAATGCGAAAGTAACTCTGTCTGTCTGTCTGTTATGCTTTCAGACCTAAACCATAGTACTGATTTTAATGAAATTTGGTACAGAGATGGAGTTGACCTTGAAAAAGAACATAGGATAGTTTTTATCCCGGACTTTTGAAAGGTTCTCTTGGAAACGCGATATAACCGAACGCCACGCGGACGAAGCCGCGAGCGGAAAGCTAGTAATGTATATACTATATACATAGAAAAGTGATTGCCAGAAGTTGAGAGTCAACATAACACAATCGCAGTTTTATTCCCTACTAAACGAGTTTCGGAGTTATTCCACAAAAATTGGCGATAGTTGAAACGTCGACAAGCTGCAAACGAAATGAGTTCTATTTCACGAAACATTGCTTTGCAAGCTCCGCTAATATTTTAACAACTTATTACCCTGAGTTAGAACTGTAACAGCCTAGCGTGAATACAAGTCGAAACACTGAAAGTTTATATGTTTACAATTTTTTTAACGAAAAAATATATTTTATAAAGCGATGTTACTGACACACAAAGGAAGATTGAGATTTTAATAAGAATGAAATGTTTTTTGTAATGTTTCTTTAAAAAAAATTATTTAAATAAGTTCACATTAGTTATGCGATAAATTTAACTTACAGTTATATAATTATGGTGTCTTAGCACTTAGATAAATAAGAAGAACTATATTTTTATATACAAATGGGCAAAGGTAATGACGACTTTCAAAAATAATTTTACAGAATAATTTACGTTAAACTCCTATTTCATAGAATAGTAATGGCTTCATCAGCTTGCATAAGTAATTTTTACAAAAAATTAATTTCATAAATTAAAATTAATTCACATATTTGTAAAATATAAAACTAAATTAAGGAGAATAAAATGAATGATGAATCATATAATGATCATATATATTTAATATTGTTAGAAATAATTTAATTTCATATTTTATTTCAATAAAGATTTGGTGTGGTACTCAATTATAAATTTACATTGCAATTGCAATATTGCTTATATTCATTCTTATTAAAATATTTAAGGAAAATTCTTTATTTACAATTATTAAGAAATCTTGAAAATATGACTAGTTATTTTGTTATTCACATTCGCACAATCGAAATGCGGGTATGAATAATATATTACTTGTGTATGACTTATGAGGCCTATGTCTTAAATTTTGCTATGTGAGTTTTTGGACAATAAAATATTGTATAAAAGGGTTGACCTTTTTGTTGAAGTTCATAATATTGGACGTATATTTTTTTTAGTTTGAAATAATCTGTCAGTGGAAAACCATGTAGCTTTCAACTCTTTTCCACAGTAACATTCCATATTCGAAGTAGTTTGAACACGTGTATTTTGCTCCTGTTTTTCTTTCGTACAAAGTATTTTTAGCCATAGAATAACGTTTAAGTAAAACGCCGTAGTTTTTGAATAATTAAGTGAACTGCTGAAAAGTAATCCAAATAATAAATATAGTCAGGGTCATACATTTTTAAGTAACTTAAATAACTTTTATATACAAACATGATTTTAAAACTAAAAATACATTAAAATAACCTATATACTTGAAATAAGTATGTTAAACCCTTTCATAGAATCGGTTCTCGAAGAAAAGAAAGACAGAGGAGCTAAAAATTATTTATATTGATAAAATTTATAATTTTAAGCTGTCAAAAGATACATTTCAGTCAATATTATATGCTCTAAAACGATTGAGGTGACATCATATGTCGATAGTTGTATCTTTTAATGTTGTTGTCGTAGGACTTTTAGATATTAAATAGACTAGACCTCTAAATTCTAATCATAACATTTAATACTTATCAAAGTGTGTAATCCACTTTACTTTATTACATCTTATAGAAATTTAAGATTCAGTCAAAACCCAGATTTTAGATAAAGAGTTTTGATTTACTTTCGTTTGGTTACTTGACATCAATATGAAGAAAATATAAGCTTTAATCCAAATTGGATTTATTCGACAAATTTTTAATGGCGCTATTTAAAAACTTCTTACTTTAATAATTCGATTTCCCCTTATTATATATTTTATGAAAATGAAAGGTATTTCAAGAAATTCTATAAGACATTTATAATAATCTCTCTTGTTCAAGTGTCGCTATTTGAAATTTCTGGAATAATTTATAAATAAACTTCGTAATAATTTTAATATTAATGTCTCAGATTTGTCTTGGCCTTTTTATCAATTAATTTTAACTTTATGTACTAACTCTTATTATGAATCAATAATAACATGTATTTCTGTAAAGATTATCATTTTCCAATTATGAAAAGTTGTTTATTTGATCTATAACAAATATATTTTCTATTTATACCAATCACCCGAAGTATTCTCCGGGGAAATAAAATTTGATATTAACAAACAAAGTTTAAACCTGTATACAGGGTTGTCGTCCCTGTACCACACCACAAGGAGCAGGCTGTCATTAAGTTGTGGAGGGCGCGAATCGCAAGGTAGGCTTGCGTCTCCTCCCACTACCGATGACACCCTTGTGACCGTCCCAGTCACAGAAGAGAACGGACTGCCTGTGGGGATAAAAACAGATTATTTACTGGGTACATAACTTTTTATTGTGTATATATATATATGTAGTTAATTCGTTGATAAAATTCTATTTCTGATAACAGTTTATTCCATGAAAAAAAAAACATTTAACTTCCTCTAAAAATTTATTTAAATAGAATTTTGTTCGTCAAATTGAAAAATTCGTCAAACGAAATAAATTAACGTGTATAAAAAAATGTAATAGACAAATATTTTCACTCCCGAAATTTTAGCAAGTTAAATCACACGCCCATCATCACATATACAGACCTTGTCAGGCGTATGCATAAAATTGTTCAATCACAAATATAGTGAAATTATTTTACACTTAAAATATAAGGACCGTACCTAAAATTGAAGCAATTTTTTTTTCAAACCTTATTTGTATTTGTAAATTTTCGTGAATATGTGAATATGTAATATAATACGATTGTTACTTAATATTTGATCTTTGTTGATTCGAGAAATGTATGTAGTTCATAGGTGATCACTTATTTTTATCAGAAGCATAATATAACTGTTGAAATTTCACCCCTGCTTATGAGATGCAGACCTGATGGGAAGTAATTACCGTTACCCATGTAAATCTGCAAAATGGTATTGTCGATGCTTTGCCGCTTTTTAGGTGAAAGGAATGATGGATAGTAATGGTCCAATATCTATTTTGTCAAAGAGCATTGCCGGTGATATAAAAAAAAGTCAAGTACTGTATGTTACTAGCACGGGGTACGAAAAAGCCCCGAACTGACGGTAGTACCAGGGTCTCCCTGGACGCTTTAAAAATTAAATAGAGGAATATAGCACCTCAAACCTAGTTTGAGGCTGAAATAAAAAAATAAATCTAGATTTAGGCTGATGCTAGACAAAAGGCCATTGCACTCATCAATACCCCGAGAGAGGAAAGAGTTGGCAAAAGGACAGGGCTCTCTCAGTTATAAAAGAAAAAGAACCATTAAATACTATTTTAGGCCGACCTACTGTGAGAAAGTTTTACTTTTTGTTGTAGTAGATTTACCACAAAAAGGCCTTACCACTTAAAGTTTTTTGTATTATTTACAAAGAAATAGTATCAACATAGTAAGAACATATTACAATACTCTCATATTTTTTAAGTTTATAAAATTTTAAATACCATGTATTGTCCGAAATTTTTTCACGTGCCAGATCTCTCATTCGTCGTAGAAGCTGAGGTGGTTTTTGATCTACAATTTCCCTTAGTCGTTTTTGAAACTGCCTTGTTACCTATATATTTTATTTTTGTATTTATTATATTATATTTTTGTATTTATTTACTTACTATTTTTAGCTGACCCACGGAAATTTTTATTTAATATTCACTCTGTATAATATATCACATTTCACATTGACAAAAATTTGTTTTCAAGTTCATTTTATTTTTTCAATAACTATTTGACATCCTATACATGTTTATTTTCTCAAAAGAGCAACCGTAAGTTGTATCGTTAGATGTCACTGGGGTCACGCACCCAGCGAATAGACAAGTGGTAGATAATTTAATGTATTAAGTTGTCTTGTCCAGACCAGCTATAGTTTACAGTGTATGTTATTTGAATCAGCTTAATAACTCATATGGTGAAATCCATTGGAAACATTGAAAACTAATTTTAAAGTACTTAAAAGGTTTGGCCTTCTGTTTAAAAAGGATAATTCTTATATACAAGGACATGTTGATGCAGATTGGGGTTCAGATTCGAATGACGGAAAATCTTTTTCTGGATTTTGTTTTATCTGGTACAGTCATTTCTTTTGAATATAGAGAAAACAGAGAAATATAGCTTTGTCTTCAACAGAAGCAGTGTATATTTCCATAACAGAAGCCAGTAAGAAGGCTATTTATGTAAAAAAAACTATATTTTGAAATTGTAGGTAATTCAGGAACAATTACTTTGTATAATGATTGTCAAAGTCCACAAAAAACTTATTTTCCTTCCAGTATACCATAGAAGATCTAAACATATAGATATTAGATATCGTTTTGTGAGACAGGCAGTAGCAGATGAGTTTGTTAAAATTGATTATTTAGAAACTGCTAAATGCCAGCTATATTTTTACAAAAAATAGGTTCTGTAAAGTCTAAGTATTTTATTAAAAAACTTGATATACTGGGGATTTCAAACTATTAATGATTTTGTTAAGCGGAGGTAATACTAACAAGTATTATAATAACAAGCAATACTAACAAGTATTATAATAACAAACCACAAATATATGTGACTAGCGCAATCTGTAAGTAACTAGTAAGTAATGTATTTGTGTAACTTTGTTTCTCTTGTATAGTAAATATTGTCTATCGAACAGTCACTGTGTGTACTCTAACCAGAGAGCTCACCAGCTGCTGATGCAATATCAAGTCAAACAAGTATTACGTAAATCGTCAGAGGCGGACACAACGTTCTCACCATATTTATATTTTAATTTTCTTAATTAAATATTCACCGTTTAAAGGTAAACTAAAACCTAGTATACGTGGACCTTACGGGGTAGTTCGAGACCTATCCAGTGGTTGCTACCAATTTTATCAGATCAGTTGTTTTTGTGGAAAAACTATACAAGCAGCAGCTGAGTATATGGTACCTTTGGACCGAGAGCGGTGTTCAGAATCATGAGCAGTTCTTAAGATTAAGTATCTGGTTGCATAAAACAAGCTGATGACTGGCTTTGACACATAATCATATTTTTTTTTTAAAGGGAAAAGGGGGCAACCGAGCAGACGGCCTACTTGATGGTAGGTAGTTACCGTCTCCCATAGACATCCGCAACGTAGATTTTTATACAATTTCGATGAAAAAATCAATAGTTACATGTTTTAAACTGTTTGGTGTTTGAAATTGGACAAATATAACCTTTACAGTAATTTTATATCAAATAATTATAAATAAATAAATATAAGATTTTTCAATCGATATATGTATATAACAACAATTAAAATACCAGAGTACGCTAGTCAGTTGACAAGAATATGGATTTATATATACGCTTACAAATTAAAAAATATATTTTTCATCGGCCTCTAACTGGATTCATATGAGACATTAATGTCTATTACATCCTTAAAATAAATATTGTTTGTTAGTAATAATCATTATAATGAAAACTAAGATTTTAAATTACAATTTCCGAAACTTATATAATACCACTGGCAATATGAAAGAATTTTAGTTTTATACATTTCAGTCTTCTGACGCTCTTTAAAGCCACTTTATTATTATGTTTTACTTATCTCACTTGACGGCAATAATTGCTACCAATTCATTTCGATATCTAATAATTGATTGAATTGATACCTTACACGAAAGAAAGATAACTTATTGCTTTCTCATTTTTATCATGTACTTAATTAAGGAAACTTTCATTTTTTTTAACAGTAATATATGTTAAATTAAAAAAAAATGATATTTCATCATAATTAAATTATCATTTATTACAATTATATTAATTATTATTTTAGAGTATAAAATATATAATTTATAATATTCTTTTTTAAATTTACTGTCATATAATTTTAACTCTGCTTAGTATTCATAGCAGAAGCATTGTTTATAAAAACCGTTGACATATTTGCAATGTGAATAAGGCTTACGTTCACATTGTTATGAAGACTGACGGACAGCGAGTAGATAAAAAATTTGTATCCAAGTTACCTTTTATTTTTATATACGTATACTTGTGCTTAGTAATCATCAATTATTGTAATTTGTAATAAATAACATATCAAATAAATTACAATATTTGCATAATATCTTTTTTTATTAAACTTTGATTGTCCTGTTAAAATATATAATTTTTTTTTATTAAAATTTCAATATCTTTAGGGTTATTTAAAGTAACCATTTTTTTTTTCAAAGCTGATAATTATTTTATAAAACATATCTTCAGAACGACAAAAAGTAAGTTATATAAAAAAAATATTTAATGTCGAATAATTGCTTTGTTATCTTAATAAATTTGTAAAATATATAAGTGTACACAACAAAGATAGATAAATTAAGGTATTAATAGTCCCGTCCTAGAGCGCTTTGCGCAAAGGGCTCCTGCGGTGAGGGTGATTAGGGGGTACCGCACGGTCTCCTGGGCTGCAGCGACTGCCTTTGCCGGCGATCCGCCTTTTGATCTCGTGAGGTCGGTTCGCGCAGAGGTGTTCACTTATATCTCGGGTAGGACGCCACTCGGCGGGAAACCTTCGTCGGAGGAAACCAGAGCGGTTCGCCGGCAGGGGTAGTATCGCGGAGAAGATCTTCGAGGGTGACAGGTCCTTGCTGGCGGTGTCCTCCGTCTGTGAGACGGTCATGTCCACGAAGGAGGCATCTGAGCCGGAAAGGGAGTATGCGGCTAATGCACCCTCCCTCCGCAGGCGACGTACGGTGGTGCGACGGAGGCGATTCCAACGCCTCCAATAGATGCCCTGTGCTCCGGGCTGGGGTTGGCGTGTTAACCCGGCTTCAGTGAAAGCCCGGCGTCGTCGGGGCAGTCCTAATTGCCGGGATCGCCCCCATGCTCTGAGGGAGTAAGTCCGGTCTTTGCCAGGACCGGCCAGTCGCTGGCGTGCCCTGTCGCTGACAGATCCGGGGTACCTCAACATAGCGGCCAATGGTTTTCGCAATGGTTATAGTGAGTAGGAGCCTGCCCAGGCCGAGTCTCACGCAACCCTTCCGGCCCCACCAAGGCAGGTTGGACGGCTCGTAAAAAGAGTTTCCCAGCGTCATAAAAAAAAAGAGGTCTTAACAGTCCCATTACGGACGTAGACAATTTGGTGAAACTTTTAAAAGAGTCCTTATGAATACAATTCAAGATAACATAAAAATGCTTATTTATTTTCAGTATACAGTCAAAAAAAATTTTGAGCAGAAATGCCATAGCAATATCTCTACACGCCTACAATTCATAGCATATTGTTTTTAGAAATCTGCTATGGTATTTAAAAAGTTTAAATGAAGTACATATTAAAAGTTTCCAATTCTACATTTTAAGGCCGTCTTCCATTAAACAGTAAAGCAAACTATAACCTACAAACGCATGTTTGTTTTAAATGTAACCGTCAAATATATTATTTAACTAGAAGACCTGGTGAACTTCGTATCGCCCTATAATCAGGAAATATCTATTACATCATATCAGTTAGTTGTCAAATCTAATGTCAAAAAAAAGTTTGTATGGGAAATAGAAAAGGGCTGTTTTTATGGTTTTCCCAGTAATGAATCATTTTTTTCATCTTTTACACCTTCCCTGAATCTCCACGAACATTTCAAGACTAAGATAAGATAAATCCGTTCAGCTGTTCTCGAGTTTTAGCGAGACTAAGGAACAGCAATCCATTTTTATATATATAGAAGACTAGAAGACCTGGCGAACTTCGTATCGCCCTATAATCAAGAAATATCTATTAAGTTTTTTTATTTATATTTTTGGAGTTTACCTATTAAAGCCGTGTTAATCTCCGTGTTTTGAAGTGCGACTGAAAGATTGACATATTACATAGTTAGTTGTCAAATCTAATGTCAAAAAACACGTTTGTATGGGAAATAGAAAAGGGCTGTTTTTATGGTTTTCCTAGTAATAAATAATTTTTTTTCAGCTTTTATATCTTCCCTGAACCTCCACACACATTTCAAGACGATGATAAGATAAATCCGTTCAGCCGTTCTCGAGTTTTAGAGAGACTAAGGAACAGCAATCCATTTTTATATATATAGAAGATAGAAGATAATACTATATATATAGAAAAAATGCTATATATAGTCAGTGGTGGCCTAATGGTTAGGGGGCCCGCCTCTCGTTTTCGAGGGCTCGGGTTCGATTCTGGCCCGGGCACGTACCAATGTGATTTTTCCGAGTCATATGTACTTTCTAAGAATATTTAACCATCACTGATTAATGCTGAATCCCAAAAGAGGGTTGATGTCAGGCAGGCGACCGGTCGTAAAAAACAGTAAGCCAAAACTATTCACAACATATAAGGCAAACCCTGGCTATAGTCGGGAAATTGCCAGGTAGAAGAAGACTATATATAGAAAAAGATTTATAAATTCTTAAACTTATCCAATTTATTCCTTTTGCAATTTACTTTTATAACTATTAATAAAATAATAGTAGACGAAGTTGATCGGACGTTTAATACATATATTGGTTAGAAGTATATCACAAGGCTTTTCGAGCTTTAGCTGAATGGAGTACCCAATTTATTGAGCTACAATATTTATAAAACAAAATCTAATAGTATAAATATTTTATTAAAATAAACAAAGAAAACGTATGCCTTTATTGTTGATCTAATTACACTTATGGAGTGAAAATAAAACAAACATTTTCAGGTATGGGAGCAATCTCAATAAAAAAACTATGATATTTTGATTTAATTTTATATTACATACATGTTTTGTTTTGATAATAAAAATATTACAGCCAAGTTGAGACCAGCAAACAGTTATGTTAATTAATAACATAAATGAATGAGTTTTCTTTTGTTTTATCAATTTCCTTATGTTGAAAGTCGAGAAATGATAAGAAGTGCTTGCCAAAGCCCATAAATGTGTGCTTGTGCAACTCCTTTGTCAGACTGGTAACATTTGGGAAATAAATACAAGACGAAAATGCAAAGGCAAAAATATTATTAAACATCTGTTCTGAATAAAACACATATATATACTGAATAATAAATTCCTATATTAAATGCATATTATACAAAAAAAAACTGATTTGTAATTATTATCAAAGAATGCAATGGAAGTCGATATAAATTAGGTTATAAATTACTTCGCTGCATGATTATAAAATGTTAACAGCGTACTTTGTCACATACAAAATATAAGGTTAGAATAAATTTACAGGCAGTTTAAAAAACGTACCAAGTCGTGGTAAAAACGTGGTTCGTGTTTTGGTAACAGCAACCTACAATTTACAGCATAAATGAATTATGGTTTATGGGTTAATATCGAAGTTTTTTTTTTGGGTTAGTATTATGTTAAAATTTTCAATTTAGATATTAAATATAACGTAGAATAAAAATATGTGATATATACAGAAATGATTTATTCAAATGTTTTATTCATAATATTAACATTAATATTTATCGTATTATATGTTTTATCGCGTGACAATGGCAAGTAATTACCGAGATATAAAAAGTGCTCTCAATACTCCGAGTAGGTCGTAATAGGATTAGTACATGCAAAAGTGTAATCTATGAACGAAATATTTGCTAATTTATACTTTATCTTATATCAGAGATGAAAATTAAACCAATTAAATATTAAAAATTATCTTAATGATATTAATCATAATATGTAAAAATGAGTTTTTATTTATTCATAACATGGCCTACAATGCTTTTAAAAATATATTGCTTTTTTATTTTTATTTCCACCAATTGCATCATGTTTATTTGTTAATAAATAGGTAAATGTGACGAATAAAAATATAAACCAAAATAAAAATAAGTTTTTGACTCCTAAAAAATACCAAAAATAGAGCTTCTTTTTTCCGTTTATAGACCTTAATAACCTTATAAAGATAAAAGAAACGCAGGTCTAAATACGTTATTTGGAAAAGTATAAGGATACAAATATAATATAGTAATCAATATGAAATGGAAACGACTAGCTTTTAAAGTTGTAATTCCTTTAGAGTAATAATTTTCATAAAAAGCTTTTGTAATGAAAAAAAGAAAGAATGAATTTAAAGCTTTATTAAATTAGGTTTGTGTGAACGCCAGTTGTTCTCAGCCACTATGGCCACGGACGGACAGAGTTACTTTCTCATTTATATTATTAGGGATACATTTCTAATATCTTAGTTGAAATTAAGTGATTTGATGCTTTCAATGATAATTTTCTTCACAATCAAATGCTTAATATTAAAATTACTTTATTTTATAATTATAATGATAAAACTCTTTAGAAAATTTTTCATTATTAAGTACCCATAATAAGCGCTTTATACTTGTGATAACTTCTTAACGAAATGTCCGATTGAGATGGAATAAAAAGTATTTCACTTCAAAATTAGTGTTCTTGATAATATAAGGCTTACCTTTTTTTTTTTTTTTTAAGGGGAAAATCATCAAATGACCCCTCTTGCCTGGGTGGGGCAAGAGGGAGTGTCAGACTCTTACTGACTAAAAACCCCCCGTACCTACTCCTGCTCCGAGCCTGGCCGCGGTACATCATTGCGCTTACACCCGCGACCTGGCCAGGCATCGGCTCTAGGGCCCCATCTGTGATGGTCCGATGGCTCTTTGAGGCGCGCGCGGTACGCTACGCGCCGTACGCTCGGGTCTGGTTCTGATCGGGCGGCAAGCTACCCTTGCTTGCCGTCCGCAGACCCGCGCTTACGGTGGCTGGAGATCATCTCGTGATCCCCAACACCTGGAGCGTCCCCTGCGGCGGCTGGGGCGTGAGGAGGATCGTTCCCTCACGCGCTCCGCCTCCTCCTTCGCTAGCATGACTGCTTCGCAAAAGGAGGAGACTGCAATATAAGGCTTACCTTAGATAAGGATTAATATTACGATACACATTTAATGTAGTTTCTTTTTTTTAAACAAATTGATATTTTTATTTTTAAATTACGATGGTTAAAAATATACTATACTATAAAATGTTTTGGTTGTATTGCCAAAACTCTTTGGTGAGCTCAAATTACATAAAAACGTTTCCACAGAAATATTGAAAACGTTAATCTATTAAAGTATGATAAATTGACACTCCGTAATGAAGTACTAATTTCTCAATTGATAACCGTCGATAATAAAGAAAGTTGATTTATTAAGGTATAGTCATTTGACACTCAGAAATGAAGTATTGGTTTCTCAAATGTGTCAAACTTAAACCAAAGATTGATGCCCATTGAAGGTTAATGTTAAGTGAGACTTAAGAATAGTATAAATACAGTTTCATAATTTTACTAACATTTTACATTATACAAGCTTCCATCGAGAAAGTCGTGCTTAATTCATGTTAGGTTGTAAAATTTTAAATAAAATTAGTTAAAGTAACATTTGGTTTTCCTTCGGCCTTCCGTCTGTAGCTGACGTAACTCACGCGTAAATATCTTTTTGATTGTGAACCTTGCGTAACAAAGTAGCAATTTTCTTACGGATCTCTAACGCGTGATTACAATGAAATAAAGCTTTTTGCCTTCTTCAATAAATGGACTATCCAAAAGTGAAATTATTTGCCAAATCGGAACAGTATTTCCTGAGATATGCACTTTCAAACAAACAAACAAATTCTGGAGCTTTATAATATTAGTATTATCTATACTAATGTTACAAAGTTTCAAAATTTGTTAATGTATATAAATAACATAATTTCTTTCATAAAAATATTTGTATATACATATATCCTTTTCTTTTTCTTTATAATATCAAAATAACCTGACACTATGACAACATCGAATTGTTGACTATGAAACAAGAAGAAATGATATTATAAAATAAAAAAACAAAAACATATATTTAGAATTTCAAAAAAGTGAGTGATTTTTTAATATTATTTTTGTAATTCCTTAGTTTTATTTGCAAAACTAAGCCAAGTAGTTGAAAATCATTCTACTTAAAACCTCTTTAAGTTTATGGTTTTCTATAGAAATATTTTGAATTCAATGCTAAGGTTTTGAATGATAAGTCATATAAGTGCTCAACATATATAAATTAATAAATGGTATTAAGTTTTTAAAATTCGTCAGCGTCTTAAGTGTGACTAAAGGATTAATCCAGTAAAAACAGTGCAAAAATTCCTAACATTATTCCGAAAGAGAGTTGATACTCTTGGATTACTCGACTGGTATTAAGCACAATCACTAGAGCAAGGAAATGGATTGCAAATGAATACAACCGCATCATAATTGGTCTATGTATCTGAAAGCTAGGATTCACTTGAAAGGTCTTTTTGCGTGGAGGTTTAAGAATTAGGCTGGCATCTAAAATTTTGACGTGTACACATTAAAATTTTTCTAATACTATTCGTTGTCTTTTATTTTATTTCTACTTGTTCCTGACGTTATGATAAGTTTTAAGTGAACGTGATCACAGTTGTAAAAATGTATATGTATGTACATATGTATAAAACGTGTATGTGTGTAATTTCATTCAAAGCATACTATGTCTCTTTGTCATAGTCTTAAAATTTTAAAATAAGTTAGTTATTTTATTAGCTTAATATTATTATTTGACTATAATAATTAACCAGAGCGAAAGTGACTAAAGAATCTAAAATATGATTAGGTCATTCAATATCACAATATTACTAGGTAGGTAGTTAAATTCATGTTAATCACAGTTTTAAATAACTGTAAAAAAATTACAATATTTTAAATAAAAGACTATTTAATTGTTATAAAAAGTTTCCTATAAAGTTTAATCACTGAATTCAATTTTATTCTTTTAAACAAAATTGATATAAGTTTTAGTCAAGAAATACAATTTAGCAAAGTCAGATACTAAAAGGCTAAGAAGAATAAAAGGATAGTTACTTGCAAATGTGATTGAAACTTTAAGACATTAAAATTTTGCAAAGTACAATTCTCCCAAGACCTTTCTTTGAGTTGTAAGGAGCACTTGCCAAAATTTGTAATTTAATTACTTAGTTAAACTAAAGTTTTGTACTATGGTAAAAACAGTATATAAATACAAATAAGCATTATAATTTAATTGGTTTATGTTGTACTACTTGAAAACTGCATTTCAGAAGCACGTTTAGTTCAGTCCAGCTGGAAGTGTACTGAATTTTAATCTAGATATCTTGCATAAAGAGAACATTAATATGCGTTAAGCAACGTTGCCCTAAAAGAAATGGAACTGGGTGACTCATTATAAATTCGTTTGTTCTGGACCCCCTGAATAGAATACCAGTGAGGTTTCTGTACATGTACTGGTCGTTTATTCATAAATAAGTTTATACTTGTTTTGCAACAGTAATTATGTAACATATTTTCATCATGCGTCCATAATACTGAATTATATGTAATTTAGTTTTGGGCGGAGAAGCGCCAGGACCTAGTCGGGGCAACGGAGGCTGGAGCCCTATCGCTACGGCACATGGTGAGCTGCATGGTGCGGAGCGAGTCGGACTGGGACGCCGCGCTCGCCTTCTGCGAGGCGGTAATGTATGCAAAGGAGGAGGCCGAAAGGGTGAGGGAAGCCACATCATCCATTCTCTCTCGCAGACGCCACACTGGGCGCCGCTGCAGAGGCGCCCGCGACAACCTGAGGCCACCGTAAGCACTGCCCATGGCGCGGACCCCAACCAGAGATAAACGGCAAAGGGAGTTGCATGGTTGTGTTCCCTGTGCAACTCCTGAGACCACGTGAAGAAGAGCGCCACATGAGGGGGGGGGGACTGTACCAGAGCCCCCACAAGACGAGGGGCACACAGAGGCGGGCCAGCCTGTCGTTGCTCCGACAGAAAGACCGTCGTGGAACACCCTTGGGTTTTAGTGGGTAGTGGAAACGAGTCCCACGTACCCCGCTGTCCTAAAAAACGGCGGGGACGCGTAAATGCATTTTACAAGGATAAAAAAAAATTAATTTAGTTTCAAAAACTTGAAGTTTTTTATAACTTTAATGTTGAATTAACTTTTTTTTTTACTTTTACAACCTTTAGTAAATGTTGTTGAACTCTAAGTGCAGGAAAATAATGGGGAAATACATATAAATGATGAGTCAGATTGATGTTGCAAGTTGTAACATGGCACCAATTGCAATTTAGAAAGTGTCATTTTTTTTTAAGAAGTCTAATATTTGGTATATCAAATGTGGTAATCTTTTTC